CTAGTGTTTTACAAATTAAGGTGTTAATTATAATCTTCAAGGGAACCACTAAGAAAATAACCCAAAAATATGTAGTAAAGAAAAAAGTTAAGTAGTACTTTTTCCTGTGGAATATATTTTCTGTGCCCGAGCCATATTTTCTTGGCTTTCTTTCAGTGTCTTATATTTTTTGCTGAAAGCAATATTTGGAATAATATATATTTGAATATTATAACCCATTCCATAGTGTTTGTTGTTGCTTCTTGTTGTAGCTGTTTATTTAATTACTTTTCTAAACTAATTTTGTAAGTCTTTACTCTTCATTGTGTGTACCCCTTGAAGTCTCTGTTCCATTAGTGGTCAGCTAAATTAAATAAAAATTAAAATGTAATTTCAAAATATATTTAACACAAAAGAAGGAACAAATGGAGGAATTAATGAACAAAACAGACATATCACTCTAGTCCATTTCTGCTGCTATAACAAAAAAACTCAGACTGGATAATTTATAAACAATAGAAATTTATTTCTCACAATTCTGAGGGCTGGGAAGTCCAAGATAGTGGCACCAGCAGATTCAGTGTCTGGGGAGGGCATCTGCTCACAGTGTCTTCACATGGCAGAAGAACAAAAGAGGAAACTGGGACAAATGCTGTGTCCTCACATAGCAGAAGAGTTGAAGAGCCAGGCAGCTCTTTGAAACCTCTTCTATAAGGATATTAATCTCATTCACAAGGGCAGAGCCCTCACAACTTAATCACTTTCCAAAATACCATACGTCTTAATCATACCACAATGGGGATTAAATTTCAACATGAATTTTGGAGGAACTCAAACATTCAAACCACAGTAAGCATACAGAAAACAAAAAAGAAAATAGCAGATACAGTACTTTCATTAAATATCAGTGCATTAAACTCCCCAATTAAAAGGTAGAAATTGGCCAGGCAAGGTGGCTTACACTGCAATCCCAGTACTTTGGAAGGCTAAGGCGGGTGGATCACCTAAGGTCAGCAGTTCGAGATCAGCCTGGCCAACATGGTGAAACCCCATTTCTACTAAAAATACAAAAATTAGCCAGGCATGGTGGCAGGCGCCTATAATCCCAGCTACTCGGGAGGCTGAGGCAGGATAATCACTTGAACCCGGGAGGCAGAGGTTGCAATGAGCCAAGGTTGTGCCACTGCACTCCAGCCTGGGCAAAAAGAGTGAAACTGCATCACACACACACACACACACACACACACACACAAAATAAAAGGAAGAGAAAAAAAGAAAAGAAAGAAATGAAAAAGAAGTTGATGAATAGATTAAAAAACCATGATACGTTACAAGATGTATACAAGATACTTAAGATTAAAGCACAGATATATGTTAAGAGTAAAAATATGAAAAAAGTTTCCATGCAAACTGTAACCAATAGAGAACTAGAGAAGCTCTACTAATATCAGACAAAATAGATTTTAAGACAAAGATACTGCTATTGAAGAGATGGCAGGAAAACTAGAAGATACCTCTAAGTTCTAAGTTCTAATTGACTGGAGCTTGAGACAGAGGTCATGGCTATAAACATACATGATGACAGGCACCACGTTTTAGTAAACTTTAATCCTCATACTTAGCTTGGATCTCAGGGTATAATAGATATTTAATAAATATTGATTGAGTGAATGAAATTATGTAAGAACGCTAAATCATTCCCATAGAAGTGATAGTTGAAGCTATAATTTAAAATAAGATCTACAGAGACTATAGAAGGGAGAGACCACAAATAACTAAATCATAGAAAATGTGGGAAAGATTTGTATTTATGAGGCAAATGAAAGAAGAGCAAGTGTTGAAGTAAGGAAGTACAAGAAAACAATTGAAGACAAAGAGCAGCAGACTATCAAAAGAGCACAGGACACATACATATTGTATCAATATATACAGAGTATATGAAATTTGCATCTAAGCATAGATTACATACATACATATTTATGGATGTGTGTATATGTGTGTATTTATATAATGAAAATAATCGATCACATACATGTCACTCTTTCAGTGCACCACAGAGAAGCCTAAACTGGAGTGTTTTCTTACTTTTGAAAGGCAACACTTAATTCTTCTGATATCATAATTAAATAAGGTAGATATTGCCTCCAATAGACTGTGAGTACCAGACATGTTCAGAAGAATCGTTCGTAATCAGAAGCATTGTCTACTTGCTTATAGTTTGTACATCTCTCTTCTAAATAACAACTCTATTGCTTTGCCGTCTATACTCCTTTTATGTATACTGAGCGTTTTTCTTCTGAAAAAATAGCTCAAGTATCCTGTATATAGTGCAATAAAACTTCTGGTAAACAAATAAGCAAATGATGCAAAGTGAATTTGAAGTTAGAAGAGGATTTTAGCTATTTTAGCAAACACTTTCTCCAATGGAAACATTAATGTCCATCTTAAATTCAGGAGATGAGGGAAAGGAAGTGGAGAGAGGAACTAGAAATTGACTAACACTTTATCAATTTATTCCATAAGGACGTAATGTAATGGTACTAAGATATCTTTATTAGTCCTAGCTTCTTTGGGTTTTTCTTTTTTTTCTTCTTTCTTTTTGCTAGGCTTGCTAACTTTAATACATTGTCCATCTTGTTTTAGTAAGACACATACAAATGCAGTATATGAATTATCTGCTACCCCAGTTTCTGCTAAAGAAGTCTTTGCTCAGATTCTATGTTTGCCAAGAATGAAGAAATACTGCAATTCAGATGTAATTATTCTCTGTTATTGCACGGACACTTATTGTTGTAAGTGGTGTTTTTAGGTTTTAGGTGGCCAACATCCATTCCCCTTTCTTCAGGTGGGATCATCTTCACTATACTTTAGTCACCCTCCTTCCTGCTTCTCAGTTTATAAGGGTTCAGATGACTGACTTCAGAGGCCATTACATAAACCAAGCTTGGCCAACCGAATGTTCTGTATCTGGAATTTGACTCTTGAGTAGAACCGCTTACTCACAATGGTGATAGCTTACTTTCCCTACAGTTGAGTACTCAGAAGGAGTAACTCCAGAGATACCCTGACCTCCAGAGCCTCCCTGGTTTGTGACCCTCCTCAGATTTGCATTTTAAACATTGTTTTCATTTCTGGAATATCCAAATCCCTTCCAATAAATACAAATTTTTCTCTTAAGTTATATTGAATGCACTTCAACAACCAAAAAGGAACAAACAAAAAAACCTTATTTATCAGAAAACATTTTATTTAAAAAGGCAGAATACCAACAGACTAGTTATCCAGCACTGCCCAAATTGAGGTCTACCACTGAGGTGCCCCTGTAAGAAGTAGGACCAGTTGTTAGCAAACATACCAGAATTTATAACTTCCAAAAAAGTCTACCCATTCTAAGGATGCTTTACCAAAAATACTCTTAGATGTCTGATTAATATCTTTATTCTTTTTCATAACTTTCAGTCCAAAGATGATCTACTTTTACAACTATTCTCTCATGTTTCAATTCTTCCTTATTGTCAACAGAGGAGCAGCATTATGATTTATGTCAAAGTATTTTTATTTCATTTCATGGTAAAGTATCATGTTTTATAAACATTTCTTTTTAATATTTTAGCATCTTAGTATTTCAAGTCATACATTATCTGTATACTCTCCAGTATCCAGGATTTTGTCTTGGCCAGGAATACTCAATAGAAAAATAATGTAAGCCACTTATATAATTTTAAATTTCCCATGAGCCACATTAAAGTCTTAAAAACCAGGTGAAATCAATTTTAACAATATATTTTTTTAACCCAAAACATCTAAAATAATATTTTAACATGTAGCCAATATAAAATTATTTGAGATATTTTATATTCTTTTTAATATATTAAGTCTTTGAAATCCAATGCATATTTCACACTTAGAGAGCATTTTAAATAAGATGCAAATTTCCATTTGAAGTATTTGGTTTGTATAAAGCCTTCATAAATTTTACAGTTAACAAAGTAGATTCAGCCGGGTGCAGTGGCTTATGCCTGTAATCTCACGACTTTGGGAGGCCAAGTCGGGCAGATCACAAAGTCAAGAGATCGAGACCATCCTGGCCAACATGGTGAAACCCCATCTCAACTAAAAATACAAAAATTAGCTGGGTGTGGTGGCATGCGCCTGTAGTCCCAGCTACTCAGGAGTCTGAGGCAGCAGAATCTCTTGAACCCAGAAGGCAGAGGTTGCAGTGAGCCGAGATCAGGCCACTGCACTCCAGCCTGGTAACAGAGCGAGACTCCATCTCAAAAAAAAAAAAAAAAAAAAAAAAATAGATTCAATGGTACGTGCCTATATTCTCAGCTACCTGGGAGGTTGGGGCTGGAAGATTGCTTGAGCCCAGGAGTTTGAGCCCAGCCTGGGCGATACAGTGAAACCTCATATCAAAAATTGGAAAAAAAAAAAAAAAAAAAGAAAGAAAAAAGAAAAGAAAGAAAGAAAATAAAAAGTCAATTCACATACCCAAGGTGTTCTGAACACACTTAAAGTTTTTTAATAAATGAATCGTGTCAGTTTTTACATTTAAACTAACGAAAATTAAATGGACTTATAAATTCAGTTTCTCGATTGTACTAGCCTTTATTGAGCGCTCATTTCACGTGGTTAATGGATTCTCTTTGGATCTCATAGTTCTAGCTAAACTGGGTAGGCATGTGTATTTTAATTAGAGTAAGGAGAGACATTCAGACATGTCCCAGACTTCGCTCATGAGATTTCAACATTTTAACATTCCACAATTACTTTTGTTATTGAAGGATACAGGGACTTCTGCTTGAGGTATGTTGAATTTCATTGGACTGTGGGTTTATAATTTTGAACATATTTGGAATTTTTTTGGCCATTATTTCTTCAGAGGTTTTTTCCTATTGTTTCCTCTGCCAAATCGCCCCTCATCCACCCAGCCCACCATCACCATTTCAGAACTCCAATTACCTGTATGTTAAGCTGATTGATATGGTCCCACAGCTCACTCTTGCTCTGTTCTTTTCTGCTTTTTTTTTTTTTTTTTTTTTTTTAGTGTTTTTCTTTCTCTGTATCTTAATTAGAATTGTTTCTGTTACTATGTCTTCAAGTTCACTCATCTTTTCTTCTGCAGTGTCCAATCTGCTGTTAATGCCATCCATGATATTCTGCATTTTTCACTTCAGATCATGTATTCTTCATCTCCAGAACTTCAATTTGGGTGTTTTAAAATATTTTCCACGTTTCTCTTCATCATGATCATGGCTTTCCTCTCCTTTCTTGGACATATGGAGTATATTCATTACAGCTATCTTAATGAACATATGGAGTATACTTATAACAGCTGTTTTAAAATCTTGCCTTTTGTCATTTCACAGTCTGTTCCTACTGTTTGTCTCCTGGTTCTGGATTGTATTTTCCTGCTTCTTGGCATGCTTGAACATTGAACAAAGTCAATGCTGGACTTTGTGAGTTTTATGCTATTGGGTGCCAAGCTTTTATTCATTGTGTTATTGATAATTGATAGTTTTTATATTTCTTTAAGTATTTAGGGGCTTTGTTCTGGGATGCAATTTAGTCAATTGGAATCATTTGATACTTTTGAGGTTTGCTTTCAGGCTCTGTGGGGTGTGCTCTTTAGTCTAGGGGTAATATGGCCCCACTACTGAAGCAATACCCTTCTGAAAACTGAACCTAATTCCTCCTGTATTAGGAGGTCTTTCCACTCTGGCTAATGGGTGTATAAGCTATTCCTGGACCTGTGTGTGCTCTGGAGATTGATCCACCTGTCTTCCCAGCAGTTCTTCTTGATGTCAGTAGTTTCCTCACACATGTATGCAGATTGGTTCTCAGAGGAAGATTTGAAAGTACTCTTCTGCTCAGTTCCAGAGTTCTGGCCTCTCCCTCTCTCTCTTCCCCCATCCCCCCACCACCACTTTGCCCTCTTTGTCTCTCTCTCTCTCTCTTTGTCTCCCTCTCTCTCTCTCTCAGTCTGCTGGGATTGCCATAACAAAACACCATCAACTGGGTAGCTTATTAACAACAGATATTTATTTCTCATGGTTCTGGAGTTTGGAAAGTCCAAGATCAAGATATCAGCAAATTTGGTGTCTTGTGAGGGCTCACTCTCTGGTTCATCGATGGCACCTTCTTTATTGTGTCCTACTGTGTCCTCACATGGAGGAAAGTTATGAATGAGCTCCCTCGGGCCTATTTTATAAAAGCTCTAATCTCATTAATCATTCATAATATCAACTCCCAAAATGTCCCACACCTAATACTATCAAACTTGAGGGGTGAGAATTTCAATGCATGAATTTAGGGGGTGGGTACACAAACATTCAGACCATAGATAGCGCATGCCCTCCGGCTTATGGCTTTCTCTCTCTCTTTCTCTCTCTCAATCTCAGTCTCTGCAGAAACTTCCTTTCTAGCACTCTTCCCCACAAATTTTCCCAACTCAGCAAGACCACCAGGCTCTGCTTGGGTTCCCTTTCCCTGTGTAGGCAGGGGCTGGGGCCATGGAAGTGCTCACATTACTGGTTTCCCTTCCCAGGAAACATTGTCCAGTGCTGCCTGTTGTCCAATGTCTGAAAAAATTTTGTTTCCTGTATTTTGTCCAGTTTTCCAGTTGTTTAAGAGTATAAGGTAAATCTAGATCCTGTTATTCTACCATGGCCCGAAAGATATAAACAGTTAATTGCCATTCATTTAATAAACATTGACTGATTGCCTGCTGATGAGAAACTGCAGAACGCTGGGAATCAACTATTGAACTAAAAGAAATGCAGTCCCTGCGCTCATGGTTAGCACAGCTCAGCAGGGAAGAGCAACAATAATTAAAGAATCATTCAAGAGAATATGTAATATAAACCATGGTAAGAAATAACAGAAGGCAGAGCACTGCAACAGCAAATAAAGGGAAAATCTGAGTTAGTCTGGGCAATCAAGCAAAGTTTCCCAAAACAAGGACATTTTTAACTAAGATTTAAGGAATAAGTAAGATTGGTACCTGCACTGTGCAGGGTAGGAAGACTGCTAAGGAGAACAGAATGTGCAAAAGGTCTGTGGCAAGATGGAATCATTAGAAATCATCCAGTCTAATCCTTAGGTTTGCCAGTGAAGAAACAAAGGCTCAGAGAGTCTACGGCTCATGTTAGTGTCAGAGCAGGGACTGAAACCCAGGACTCCTACCATCAGGTCTAGTGCTCTTTCCATTCCACCATGTTGGCAAGCAAAATGTTGGCAAGAATACTAAAATATCTTATTAAATGATATTTGTCATTTGATGGCCCATGATCTATTATGGGTAATCCATAATTTTGTAATTTATTTTCATTTAAAAATAATAATGGCCAACATTTTGTTCAATATACACTTTTAATTGCCAATATTTTTATATATTTACAAGGAATATTCTGTAAAGTGTAAATAAATATACAAGAGAGCATCGAACAGAACAGAAACAACACTCATGCATTTATACACTGAAGCCATAACAGCATCATAACGGCCTGGGAGTGTTCACGCAGATCCCTAAGTGGCTAAATTACACCCAGGAGATTCTCACTCAGCAATGTAAGCTGTTAGTGCTTTCAGACATTTTGGGAAATGCATCCATTGCCCCATTCCAAGCTTAATTGGTATAATAAATGTCGATTAAAGCTCCTTTAAGATTTCAAACTGCAAAACTCAAGTGAAACTACTTATGTAGAGACCCATGAAAGACTCCTTTACTAGAAGTTGCTCCCAAAAGAGACACAGTATATTTACATTTACCATGGGTACATGGATACACATCATTTGCGTAGGAAATAATGTTATTTCTCCCAGCTATACTAAATGAATCTTTTTTTTTTTTTTTTTTGAGACAGAATCTCCCTCTGTTGCCCAGTCTGGAGTGCAGTGGCATGATCTCAGCTCACTGCAACCTCCATCTCCTGGGCTCAAGCGATTCTCCTGCATCAGCCTCCCAAGTAGCTGAGATTACAGGTGCCCACCACCATGTCCCGCTAATTTTTGTATTTTTAATAGAGATGGGGTTTCTTCATGTTGGTCAGACTTGACTCGAACTCCTGGACTCAAGTGATCCACCTGCCTCAGCCTCCCAAAGTGCTGGGATTACAGGCGTGAGACACCGTGCCCAGCCTCCATCACTGAGTATATGTATACAAATGACGCATTTTTTACTTTTACTTAGGAGGCTTAAAACACAATTATTCATTCAGTATAATTATAAAACACAGTCTTTGTTAACTTCTGAACTTGGCAAAAACATTTTTTGTATTTTTACCTACAGCTCATTAATTTACGTATCAAAAAATGCATTTTCGTTTAGGTAGCCCAAGCTGCCAATTGTTTGATATCATCATCCTCTTCTTCTGCCCTCCGGGAAGATGCTGGAACATAAAATAGATAAAAATTAGTAATTGGTGAGATTCACACTTTCAGCATAGAAAACAGTATGAATTACATATAAAAATGTGTTCAATATGAAATCAAAAACATGTGCTAAAAAGAATGGGCCTGGCTATCATTTTAGGCAACTATCTGACCACATGTAGTTGAGTTGGGTAACAGACCTGCTCGGGATCGACGTGCAGTGGAGGACATGCCTGGTTTTCTATCTGGCTGTGCTGGGAGAGAAGAGGAAGGCACATTTGGAAGGCGGATATTTGTCATCTTCTTATTTAATTCCTCCTGTTCCAATTCTTCAAGTTCTGCCATCAACTCATCCTGAACACAGGAGAAAGGAAGAATTACGAAGTTAACGTTTCAAGACGTGGGTTTCCTCAAACACAATAACAAGAACATCTGCTACCCAATTGATATGTGAGAACCCAGTGAAATGGAATATTTATTTTAAAACTAAGTCTTTTTTGCAACACTGAGCAATGATTAAAAAATGAATATTCTGGGTTGTGCAAATTTGTTGTAGTTAATCTTCTAATACTTCAGTAAACAGCCATTCAAGTAATTTGTGCTAGCTGAATATATAACCTCCCCACAGTTTCTGGGAAATTTACACCTTGCCTGTCATCTTTCCAATGTGTTCTTTTCTACTGTTTAGAATCCACAAAATGTTAATTGGTGGAAATAAATGTTTTTCTTCGGGCGAATGCTATAGAAAATAAAACAACAGGTATAGCAAAATCATAATGCACAGAGAGTAAAAAGAATCAAAGATACTATGGTTCTTTTATCAAATCACCAAAGCCAATATAAATTATGCTGTGCATTTGGGTTAAGAAAAGTTCAATTCAAGATAGGTATACTGTATTTCTTTCTTTTAGCAATAGTCTGAGAAGAGTCTGATTTAATCTTAAACTATTCTCTATTCCAAAAACTTTTGAGAGACAAGGCTAGTTTGAGACCTTAAAGATGTAAGTCACCTTATGCCAATTCTGAGATGACTCAGATAGTTCAGATCTCACTGGCTCCACAAGTCCTCAAGCGGAGTCTAACCCCTCTCAGAGAGCATTTGGGAGTCACAACTAAACTTATCATTGACAGAATTATGAGGTCGTCACTATTAGAAATGACTTGGGACACCTTATATTCAACCAAGTAGATTTTTCTTTCATGGAAGAATAACAAATGAGAGAATCATTCATTCATTATTCAACAAATTTATTGAGCACTGACTCCTGGACAGGTTTTGAACCCAGTGCTGGGATGCAAAGTTGAATCAACACTCCCTATATTCAAGGAGCTTACACTCAAATGTGGGAGGAAAGCACATAAACAAATAATTATCCAATATTAATGTGAGAGTATTGTGGGGAAAGAGTAAAGGGGAATGGGTAATGTGGGGAAAGAGAGAAGATATTTAAGCCAAACACAACATTTGATTAAGTCAGTGGGTATCAGAACTGCAGCAAACTAAAGATTGTCTGACCTCTATTAAATTCGCCTCATAAAAAGAAAAGAAAATATGAAGGTGTATAGCATTGGGCCGTATGAAATAGCACAGTCAATATAGTGGTGTACTTGATGGATCTCCACAGGCTATATGAATAAAATGGCATCAGAATGAATACCCTGGTGTCCTATTTCTGCTCACAAAACAATTAGGGACAAATACCATAAACATAGTAACGGCAAAACAAGCTATCCTATGCCGAATGTATGCCCAGAATTGCCAATAATACGTCATCATTATCAACAGCAGCAGAAACATATTAATATTTTCTTCAGCAATATGTTAACAACAGAGCAATTGTCTCCTCCACCATTTTCATCTTTTAGGTACCAAACACTAAGACCATTGAGAAAAGAATTTTAGAACTTAAGATGTTTTGGAGATAATCCAGTGATCCAATAATCTTCATTATCATAGATAAGAAAACTAAGAGTCAGAAAAGTAAAAGGGACTTACACAAAGTTTTCAACAAATGATAGAGCCCAGATGTCCACACAAGCCCAGAGTCCTTTCCACCATTTCATAATGTACTCGTTAGATGCTTATTAGTCTACATCAGGAGTTGAAAAACTTTTTCTGTAAAGGCCCAAATAATAATATTGCAGGCTTTGCAGGCTGCATGTTTTCTTCTACCCCATGGTCTCCTTTGTTGTCATCGTTTTCTACAACACTTTAAAATTGTGAAACCCATCCTGAGCTTATGGGATGTACAAAAACAGGTCATGGGAAGAATTTGGCCTGCAAGCCAAATTTTTGCTGACCCCTTGTCTACACCATTTTTTTTTTTTTTTTTTTTTTTTTTTTTGAGACGGAGTCTCGCTCTGTGGCCCAGGCTGGAGTGCAGTGGCCGGATCTCAGCTCACTGCAAGTTCCGCCTCCCGGGTTTACGCCATTCTCCTGCCTCAGCCTCCCGAGTAGCTGGGACTACAGGCGCCCGCCACCTCGCCCGGCTAGTTTTTTGTATTTTTTAGTAAAGACGGGGTTTCACCGTGTTAGCCAGCATGGTCTCGATCTCCTGACCTCGTGCTCTGCCCATCTCGGCCTCCCAAAGTGCTGGGATTACAGGCTTGAGCCACTGCGCCCGGCCAATCTATACTATTTTTAAAAGGTGTTGATACCCATTCTCATTTTTGGGGATTCCACGGAACCAGGTCTTATTTGCTAAATGTATTATTTTTAATACCACATAGATGCAGGAAGTTGGATTCTTTGCCATGCTAATCCAAGCTTTGGAAATATTCCTAAATCTGTAGTAGTCCTACTTGTGTGTGCTTTGAGCAGAACAATTGAAATTCACAGTGCAGACATCATCATTATAATTATAGTCTGTCTGTATTATTGGACGGATTAATCTAAATGGAATGTGTGTGTTAATAATGCCACTCCACATTTATTTGGTTTCATAGTCTGAGTAATAAACAGAGGCAGCCTAACCTCTAATTTAACAGCCACAGAGCATGATACGTCTGTTTCATGCAGAATGACAAAGTCTACTTTGTTTTACCCAGATGTGCGAGCACTCAGTTCCTCGTAATGGGGCTGTTTAGGCTTCAACCATTAAAAGCCACTAACTTTACATAATCACATGCTGTTCTTTCCTTAATAGCTGAAAACTTAACTAGGTGGCTGTTTGCCAAACTATATTAATCTTTCCTTTAAATCAGAGCTACTAACACTTTATTTTTCTCTTAAGAGAAGTACCTTTCTGAGAAATATCACTTGTTCTTTCAGTAGTAAGGGAAGCTGCCTACTGTATACGACGGGAACCTACTCTTTATAGCAGCCACAATCCTGCATTCTTCATATTGGCTTACGTACCTCATCAAAGTCATCACCAAATCCAACCCGTTGAGAAAATGCTTCTGAGATTTCTTGGGCGATATCCTGTTGCTCTGTGATCTCTTGCATCAAATCATCTATTTTGTTCAGATCCCTGGGAAATCATATTTTGTTGAACATTTTAGAACTTTAACTTATAATTATGAGTTTAGATATAATCCTATATAAAAAAGACAGTTCATTTAATATAAGTTCTTAGTTATTTGAGTAGGATATATATTCCTGATGATATTTATAAACTTTAAAGATAACTTATATTTTTAAAACCTAATAATCCATATATTACAAACATTAAGTAAATACCTATTACATTTGGAAATCACTAAAAATAAAAGTATTTTATAACTATCAGTATTTATAGACCCATTTTGAAATTTTGTCTGGTAGGGCATATGACAAATTTAAATACATGCTGCTGTGTATCAACTCTGCAGGAAACACTGCCACAGACCACCAGGACCACTGGAACCAAATGAGCTTTTGGCAGCTCTCAGGAGCCCCTATCTGACAGCAGCCCTTTGTTGAAGCTAAACGCTGGGTCTAGAGATCTATTTTCTGTAACACTTAGCAGCTCTGAGATCCTGGCTCCCTGAGGGTTTTCCCATAGTGGTGATGCCCTGAGAGGTTACTAAAGAGAGCAGGATTAAACTTATACAGCCCTCAGAAGAATCAGCAACTGCAGCAAATAAATCTAGGTGGCCACTGGCACAGGATGGATAGCCGCTTTGAAGACATTTTCCAACACCTGAGCCTCACTGGCTGCTAAACACACGCCTAAGCATCTCAGTGTCTACATGCCAGGTTCTGGAATGTTTCTATAGTAGCTTGTCTCTGAATAATTCCTCCAACTCTGAAACTAGGCCAAACAGATTGGATATAAGAGAAGTGACAATGTTCCTCATTATTAAGTAGCCTAAATATCAAAAGTTTGATTCCCAGTGGAAGTAATTTTTTTGTGAGTTTCTCTGATTCTATAAGAGCTATTTTGACATATTTTCATGCAATAATCCAAAAGAATACTTTTACCTCCCTCTGACCATCCCTTATCTCTAAACATTATTATCCTATTTATAATAAATATAAAACAAATATATTTATTTCTAAAAGGAGTATGAAAAAATGTATCGCTAAACTTTGGGCCTGGGAACAAATTTTTCTCAAATGTAATACAATGGTATGATGCTGCCAAGCCGCCTGGAGAGAAAGGCTGATTTTGTAATACATTTTAGTATCCAAAAGCAGTAGAGAATTTTGACTGTGATAATGAATCTAATGTCTTCCTGAAGCTGTCAAAATGAAAGCTGATTGTTAATGAATTATTCAGAATAGAAAATGTTGGCAAGGTTGTCTTCACTGCCCCCAACTGCCACCTTTTTCACCTTTTCCCACTCTACGGAAATTTGTCTACATCTCTTAGGCACTCATTGCTCTTGTGCATCCTTGGCCCAGGTTCCACTATCATGTCCAGTATCAGGAAAGGACCAGGTCCCAGACATACTGCCCAGTGTGAATGTAAAGCAAATTGTGAATATTAATTATTGAGTGCTCACTTTGTGCCAGGAACTATACTAAGTGCATTATATCTAGTATCTCATCGAATCCCACAATAACCACGAGGTAAGTAAGTACTATTATCATCTCTAATTTACATATAAGGAAACTGAATAAGGTATAGTAATTTGCCCAAGGGATAGTCAGCAGTTGACCTGGGATTATAGCCCAGAAAATTTGACCCCGAAATCCATGCTCATGACTGTTCTTCTGTGTCAGTGGTTCTCAGACACTGGTTAGCATCAGAATCACATGGACCCAAACACTTTGCAAGTTCAAGGAGCCTGGGCATCTGTGTTCTCTTTATTTATTCTCCAGGTGATTCTGATTCCCTCCAAAGTTTGACAGCCACTATCCCATAGATCCAACACCCTCACACAGGTTGAAATTGAAGCCTTTTTTAAACTGTAGAATTAAAATATTTACAGGTACAGTTTCCAGCAATCATAAAGTAACCGGGAAACATTACAGGAAAAATGAATGCCCTTTCTTTTTTCATGGTCTTTCTTGTTGTTGTTGCTATAACCTTTAATCTTTCTCTGAGATAGTATTTTATTCAACATGTCAAAGAGCCTCAAATGAGTAAACCCATTCCTGCCAAAATCATCATATGGTTCCAAAAGTTCTTCCCAACACTGAGGGAATTTATGATTCAGAGGAAGACCAGAGTCACTCACATGTTTTCATGAACTGATTTCATCGCTTTTGCTGCAAAGCCCATGTTCCTCAACACCTCAGTGTTGGTGTGTGAGTTCTCCAGGGCTTCTCTCTGGAACTCAATGGTAGACAGTGTGCCATCAATCTGAGTGAGCTGTTTCTCGAACCTCTTCTTCCTCTTTAGTGCCTGTAATGCAGCTAAATAAGAGAGAAGCTACATTTATTAGGAAAGATAAAGAGACACTAACTCAAGAGATGTTTGCTTAGCACCACTATGGACTTAGACCTGCTTGTACCTAAGGCCAATGAATATACCAAAATAAACCTGAGAAATGAATGACTCACATTGTCCTCTCAATTACCTACACCAACTAGTACTGTCTCCAATATTTTATTATTCTTTTCTTCCAAAGATCTGGCAAGTGTAAGCAGATGGAAAGTCAGTTTTCCTATTCCAACACATATGCCACAGAAATGTTTTGTCAATGTCAGATGTTAGAAAAAGGATAAAAATATGAGTAAAAATCACTCAATAGAAAAGTAAACCTTTAGAGAATGTAAAGACCTTAATGACGGTTGATTCTAGCCCCATGTTCTTAAAGGCAAGTTCATTGAGACCAGAGAAGTGAAGTGACTTGCTTAAAGGAAGACAGTGGCAGCTGGAACAAGAACATAGAATGCTGAGCTCTATGTCTTGGTCTGAAATGATTTTGAGATGGCTATTGAGGTTACATCTAACTGTGAGCATCCATGAATTCAGCACTGCTAGAGTTGTATTCAAGGATCAGATGGCACAATGGTGAGAGAAAAGAGCAGGGCCTTCAGAGAAATGATAACCAAATAATCTTCCCATTAACGTTTTAGTAAGATAACCTAACTTGCCTCACTCTGAAACCACAAAACAAGTAAAGCCCTCTTGACTGTGGCACCTTGGAAGGCAACCAAAAAAGGCCCTAAAATATCTGTTTTCATAATGCATTTAAGGAGAGAGCACGAAAAGAGCAGCAGCTGAATGTTAATACGAAAATAAATGATAATTAAATGGAATTGGCAAAAGAACTCAAATGGTTTTATGGTTTCAATGTAAAGCAGGTAAGTTATCACAACAGAGATTTTGGAGAGAACTCTCTCTTCTGTTTTGGCCCACTTATACTTGTAATTGCAACAGATTTGATTGATTCATTCCAGTGCTTTTTCTATAGTGCACAAAGACTCATAGCCATTATACTTTCTTGGTGGATTTTTATTGTAATCAAGTATTACTCGCTATCCCATTCATTCTTTATTGCCTTGAATTCCATTTTGTTTTATTAAGTTAATATGCCAGTTTTTTATTACAATTTGTCTGTAAAAATCTTTACATAGACCACTATTTCAAAATTGTTTTTATTCAATTTTATATACATATTAAAGACACCTATATTACTCTACATGAGTGTTTACTTTTTATGATTGTTTTCGACCCATTTAAATAGTCTCTGTTACTTAATGTAAGATTTTCACTCGGTCTTATTTATTGTAGTAACTGGTATGCTATCTAATACCATCTCTTTATTGTCATCTTTTTTGTGTTTTCTGTTTGTTATGCTTTTTGTTTTCTTTCTGCTTTCTTGTCTTTATATAGATTCATTAAATTTTCTTTGTTCATTTTTTCCCTTTAATTGTTGGACAATTGTATATACTGAATTTATTCTCTTAATGGATACCCTTAAGACACATATAATTAAACAAGTTTTCCTCTATGTTGAAAACTAATCAGTATCTCTAATTTATTGTTCCCAAATAAGATTACCTTCCCACTCCAAACTCTGAAAGGTTTGACTGAAAGAATCTGCCATTTTATTAGTCCCTGATGATTCACAGAATTTTTTTTTATTATACTTTCCAATGTTAAGGAAATCTTTCTTAACAATTGTCCTAAGCTTCATAGACACAATTTTAACAATCATTTATAAATTTCTTACTATTGCTTCTTGTATTCTATATTGTCCTCTTTCTTGGATTTCTTCTTTATTTTACCGGAGTAAAACTTACAGTATTACACTTTCCAGAAAAGGTGCATAGATATAAATTATTTGAATGCCTGTAAGTCTGAATATGTCTTTATTTTGCCTCAAACTTGAGTGACAGTTTGGATTTTTACAGAATGCTAGGTTCAAAATATTTCAAAAGATTATCTTTGAATAGCTAACTTTTTAAAAGCTTGAAAATAAAATTATTCTCATCCCTTTGCAGATAATCTCTTTTCTTATTTCCTCTCCAAAAATGTTAAAGGCTTTCTTTTACACTTTGGAGTTACAAAATTTAACCAGTATGCATCTAGGTATGTGTCTTTTGTTTTTTGCTTTTTCCAACTGAGCATTCAGTGAGTATTTTCAATCTGAAGACTCAAATCTTCCTTCAGCTTGAAAAAATTGTATCCTATTATTTTTTTATCACTCCTTTCTCCCCTGCATTTCTGTCTACCCTCTTCTGAAATTTCTATTATTTTTATTTAATTATATATACAATTACACACACACCCTGAAAACATTGTTTTCTCTCTTTTGAAATGCCATAATATAAGACGAACATTGTGTTCTTTGGCTCTATCCTATATATTTTTTGTTTTGACACATGGAGTCACTCTGTCACTTGGGCTGGATGCAGTACTACAATCACAGCTCACTGCAGCCTTGAACTCCTGGCTCAAGCAATCCTCCTGCCTTAGCTTCCAGAGTAACTGCAACTACAGGCACATGTCACCATACCCAGCTATTTTTTAAATTTTTTTGTGGAGACAGGGTCTTGCTATACTGCCCAAGTTGGTCTCAAATTCCTGGCCTCAAGCAGTCCTACTCCCCTTGGCCTCCCAAAGTGTTGAGATTGCAGGTGTGAGCCACCACACCCAGCCCTCCTTGTCTTTTTGATCTATGTTCTGGGAGAATTCCTTGACTTTATTTTCTGATCACTAATTTAGTCTTCAGCAATATTGATTCTGCTTTTTTACCTTTTTTAAAAAAAATTATGTTTCTAACTTCTAAAAACTTGTTCTTTAGTTGCTCATTTTTTAATGGCAGCCTATTCTTGTTTTATAGATGTAATTGCCTCTTTAATCTCCCTGAAGATACTAACACTAGTTTTATTTGTAACATATTTTATTTCTGACATTACCTCTGTTCTTCTGGGTTCCATCGTTTGTGTTGCTTATCTTGATTCTTCTCTTTCACGCAATTACCTTTCCTCAAAATTCTTCTGATCTATTATAGGTTCATATTTATAAATATTATGACAGACTGGAAGAGTTCATTTAAGTGGCTGTGCATCTTGTCGTTATGTGAGAGTGTTTCCCCACAAGGCCTCTCTCCTAAAGGGAAGGTTGCCCATAGCTCTGTGTAAAAAAAGGTGGGGCAGGTACACAAGCAGAGGATTACTACGGTTACCAAAGAAAGGCTTGCCTCTGGGTATGAGACATCTTTATTTTTCTTATAAGTGGTGACAGTCCTTCCTCACCCCTTCCTGCCCACTGTGGAGGTTTGGGAATCCTCAAGCTCTGCTCCAACTCCCTCTCCAGGTAAAACACCACAATTTAAGTTCTTGATGAACAGCACTTACATTTTTTCTTTTTTTTTTTTTTCATTTTTTCCTTGTTATATACAAACTTTTTTATAGAAGAAAATTTGTTTAATCTGTCTTTTAGGAAAGAACTGAAATAATTTTGTAAGTCAAATGGCTTAAAGTCCTTTTTACAACATCACACTCAACAGAGGCTTACCAACAAAGAGAATAAAATACTTAGGAATACAGCTAAACAGGGAGGTGAAAGATCACTACAAGGAGAATGTATTAATCAATTCCCCTGCTGCTATAAGGACATACCTGAGATTGGGTAATTTATACAGGAAAGAGGTTTAATTGACTAGTGGTTCTGCAGGGCTGGGGAGGCCTCAGGAAACTTACAATCATGGTGGAAGGGGAAACAAACACGTCCTTCTTCACATGGTAGCCCAAAGGAGAAGAATGAGAGCCTAGCAAAGGGGGAAGCCCCTTATAAAACCATCAGATCTTGTGAGAACTAACTCACTATCATGAGAATAGGATGGGGGAAACCATCCCCATGATTCAGTTATCTCAACCTGGTCCCTCATGACACATGGGGATTGTGGGGACTAGAATTCAAGATGAGATTTGGGTGGGGACACAGTCAAACCATATCATTCCACCCTCGGCCCCTCCCAAATTTCATGTCCTCACATTTCAAAACACAATCATGCCCTTCCAACAGACCCAAAGTCTTAATTCATTCCAGCATTAACTTAAAAGTCCAAGTCCAAAGTCTCATCTGAGACAAGGCAAGTCCCTTCTGCCTATGAGCCTCTAAAATCAAAAGCAAGTTCAATGGGTGTAGAAGCATTGGGTAAATACACCTGTTCCAAATGGGAGAAACTAGCCAAAACAAAGGGGCTACAGTCCCCATGCAAATCCAAAATACAATAGTGCAGTCATTAAACCTTAAAGTTCCAAAACGACCTCTTTTGACTCCATGTCTCACATCAGGTTATACTGATGCAAAAGGTGGTCTACCACAGCCTTGGGAAGCTCCGCCCCTGGAGCTTTACAGGGTATAGCCCCATTTCTGGTTGCCTTCACACCTGGCATTGAGTGTCTGTGTCTTTTCCAGGCACACAGTGCAAGCTGTTGATGGATCTATCATTCTGGGGTGTGGAGAATGATGGCCCTGTTCTCACAGCTCCACTAGACAGTGCCCTAGTGGGGACTCTGTGTGGGAGCTCCAGCCCCACATTTCCCTTCCGCACTGCCACAGCAAAGGTTCTCCATGAGGGCTCTGCCCCTGCAGCAAACTTCTCCCTGGACATCAGGTGTTTCCATACATCCTCTGAAACCTAAGCAGAGGTTCCCAAACCTCAATTCTTTCCTCTGTACACCTGCAGGCTCAACACCATGTGGAAGCTGCCAAGGCTTGAGGCTTGCACCCTCTGAAGCCATGGCCCAATCTGTACCTTGGGCCCTTTGATTCCCTTCCAGCCTCCTTGGCCCCTTTTAACTGGAGCAGCTGGGATGCAGGGTACCAAGTTCCTAGGCTGCACACAGCAGGAGGCCCTGGGTCAGGCTCAGGAAACTCAGAAAATTTCAGGCTCAGAAAATTTTTCCCTCCTAGGCCTCCAGGCCTGCAATGGGAGGGGCTGCCACAAAGGTGT